ATATTTTTATATTTATTTATTAAATAACATATAAAAATTATTTAAAAAATTATATACATATCATTATCCTTTCTAAATGGGTGTGGTTATTCTTACCTATTATTTTTATTAAAGACATCTAATTTTGTTTAGTTTAATTATTAAAAATTATTAATAATAAATATTTTTTATTTAACAAATTAAAACTAATTTATAAACTAACATTTTTAAACATAATAATTAATTGTTTTAAAAAATTATAAATAAATAAAATGTCAATCAAATTAAATAACTTTTAAGTAAATTTTTTTTTTTTAAATAATTTTATGAGGGATAAGATTCAAACTGTTATTCAAAAGCAAGAGAAATGCACTTAAACGTAACTTAACACCATTGGACTTAAAGGTCTAAATGCAACTTTTAAGTAATCTTAACAATGAGTGATTGGACACAACCACAACCTTTTTCAAATGGATGCTTGTTTTACTTTCCTAGGATCAATACTTTTCACACCTTGGGTTTACATTTTTCTTATTTTCAAAAGGAAAAAGGAATACTGATTGAGGAAAAATATTTTAAAATCATATTGTTTTAATAAAGTATCACAAAAAAATATTAAAAATAATTTAATTCATACATTAAAAATAAGATATTTTAATTTTTTTAATTAGTGTCTATTGAAACGATATAATTTTTGAGTGATTTTTCTTTTAACGTTTTAAAGAAAAGGTAGATATGCATTTTTTTTAATAAAAGTTGATTAAGAGATAAATTTTTTGTATAACATTTTTATATAACCTTACATTTATTTTTTTAATGACATTTAAAAATTATAAATAAAAATTTATAAAAAAATTATATACATGTCATTATGACTTCTCGAGTGGATGTTTGTTTTATGTTCTTTTTCTCTTGAACAACTATAATTTTTTGAACTTTAATTGAGTGGATGGTAAGTAATACTGCTTTCAACCATCACATAGGCCAAATTCATTTGTTTTACGTTCTTGGGATCAATTTACTTGTCACATCTTAATGTTACTTGTAACGTTAAGGTTTACTTTTATATAATATATAGTAAAAGAATGAATGAAGGACAATTTGAAAGGGGAAATCGGTGCCCTTCAGTGTTTGGGAGGTTATCAATTCAATGAAAAACAGAGAGGAAGGAAAGATTGGGCCAAATTCTAGCCCAATTTTCTGTAATACGGGCCCCAGCTACCCCTTAATATTTTAAGTGGTCAAAATGGGCGTTGGAATCGTCGGAACATGGAAGAAGCACGTAACGAAGGAAAAGATTGAATTGATAACACCCCATCTGCCCATCCCTAATTCTTGGAAAAGGAATACTCATCCCTAACTTCAACTCGTTTAAACCAGAGAAATCCCAAATCAGGTTAGGTCTCAGGTCATTGCTGTGACTGTGTTAAAGATTCCAACTTTAATGGAATCGGCTCAGTAAATATGCAATTTTCAATCTGAAACGGAAACTCTTTGTTGGGTCATAGCTTCACTTCCAAAACCATCGAAAAACCCTGACCTAATTTTCCAGTCAATTCTCACCCACCAATCTCCAATTCTTTGGTTCCTTAGTTTTCAATGGAGACAGAGGCTACGACTCCAAAATTCAAGAACCCAGATTTCCTCCCGCTACCTCAGCCACCTGATTTCCACCCAGAAGTCACGGTGACCTCCCATGACGGCCTCCACTTCTGGCAGTTCATGATCGCTGGCTCCATCGCTGGTTGTGTGGAGCACATGGCCATGTTTCCCGTTGACACTGTCAAGACCCACATGCAAGCTCTCCGCTCCTGCCCAATCAAATCGGTTGGTGTCCGGCAGGCTCTCGGATCAATCTTGAAATCGGAAGGTCCTGCCGGCTTGTACCGAGGCATTGGAGCTATGGCTCTAGGAGCTGGCCCTGCCCACGCCGTATACTTTTCAGTTTATGAAATGTGCAAGAAGTACTTCTCCGGTGGCAACCCAAATAATTCCCTCGCCCACGCTGTTTCTGGGGTTTTTGCAACAGTTGCCAGCGATGCTGTTTTCACTCCGATGGATATGGTGAAGCAGAGGCTGCAATTGGGGAACAGTACTAATTATAGAGGGGTTTGGGATTGCACTAAGACTGTGTTTAGACAAGAAGGAATTAGAGCGTTTTACGCTTCGTATAGGACGACAGTACTCATGAATGCACCGTTTACTGCAGTGCATTTTGCCACATATGAAGCCTCGAAGAGGGCTTTGATGGAGATTTCTCCAGAGAGTGCAAATGATGATCGGTTAATTGTCCATGCTACAGCTGGTGCTGCTGCTGGTGCATTGGCAGCTGCTGTCACCACACCTCTTGATGTGGTAAAAACTCAGCTGCAGTGTCAGGTAAGTTTGAGCTTTTAATGTGTTACTTCTGCTTTCTATGTTTTGGTAGAATCAAATCTGGCCTTTCCTTTTCTTTGGTTCAATTTGTGCTAACTGTATTATATATTAGAGAATTAAGTTTCTTCATGTTGTGTATTTCTGAATCTTGATCTTATAAATGTAAAGTGCATTGAGATATTGAACTGTTTCTAATTTGCTTCCTGGTGCAATTTGTGAACTGTGACTTTGCCACTTTGGTGCGAGAACCATTACATCTCAATATCTCACTCCAAAAGGAATTCAGGGATGAAGTTTGATTCTCTACCAAATTTAGAGTTAAGGGGAAAGGCATACAGCATATTTGGCTCCATTATCAGCTGTCATGATGTGCATTATTCTCAATGTGTATGGTGTTTATCCTTAACTTGTAATAAACTGAATGCTTACTATGGTTTACTGAACATCGTCTTCCTTCTCCTGGATTTTGCATGTACTGCACTTCTTATCTGGAGTCTTTATCCCATTCAGTTCTGGTTTATTATGTATTTGATCTTAGAACTTATCATAAAAAATTGAAGTTCAATGTGAACGGTAATGGTAACCATATTTTAATGAATATGATTTGACATATTTGTTAAACTTTAATATGCAGGGAGTTTGTGGATGCGATAGATTTAAGACTGGTTCCATTACAGATGTGATCAAGGCAATAGTCAATAAGGATGGCTACTGGGGGCTGATGCGGGGATGGATTCCCAGAATGCTTTTCCACGCACCTGCTGCTGCAATCTGCTGGTCTACATATGAAGCAGCAAAATCTTTCTTTCAAGAACGTAACGGGAGCACCGACAATAGCACCATAACCTGAAGCACCAAGACAAAATCAGGGTTCTCTATTCTGTAGTTGTATCACACAAATCTGCTGTATGAGTAATGATTAGAAGGCTGCTTCAAATGATGGACCAGTAAATAAATACCAAGAGAAATTCTTTCAGATTTGAGTAAATGAAGACAGGCTATTGAACAGGCATCAGTAGCTTGTATACATCTTTGTCAGTTTTAATAAAAACTAATTGCAAAGCTTTAGCCTTTAGCTCTTCCCTGCGGGATTCATCTGTCATGAAAAACCCTGTCAAGTTTTGATGCGTTTCATAATGTTGTAAGGTATAATTGCCTCAGGAAGATTCAAAATTTTCCGAATGATTATACATGCAACAAGTTTTGATTTGTTTACTAGATGTTCTGGACATAGGTGGTTCTTTTTTTTTTTTTACCGTAATTCTAGTTCTTAGTATCACAGGGTTAGATTTTGAAATGTGTTGATGGATTCAGGCAAGGTAAGTTCTCTCAATGGTTTGGGATTCTAGCTCGGACACTGAAGAGACGAAGAGTGACTCATGATTCCCTGAACCGAGTCCTGTTATTGGCCCCAACCAGCTCGGGACTGAGGAAAGCCCAGCCGCTCTTCGGTAATGACAATGGTTATGAGAATGTTGTGGGTTTTCGATTTGTATGCGTTGAGCAGTGATGTGGGCTCGACCTGGGTACGGCTACCAAGTGGCAAGCGGCAGTTGGCTTGGCCCTAAGGTATTAGAATTCAATCTGAAATCTTAGTAGTCTGATTGAGAGATGGAGATCCCTCCATTCCGCTCCTCTCACTTAGAAAAATAAGGAACTCCATTTCTCTCTAAATTTTTCTGCAAACCAAATAAATGGATTTTTACCTCTCCTCTCTTCTCAAACTAAATATACAGTAAAGATCAATAAAGAGATAACGAACTTCTCCCCCATTTCCTCCACCTGACAGACTAGAAATCTTACTACACAACAGCCATAGCATCAAAAAATTTATGCATGTGAAATCCTAATACCCATCTAAATAAATGAAAAGAGTAAATCATGAAATTTCTCTCCTCATTTCAGCATGTCATTTTCCAACGAAATAATATTTTGTAACTTTTCACTTTTTCATAAATAATCCATGTAGATTTTCACCCTGTTTTTTACAAGGTGAATTTGAATAATACAACATTTTTCTACTACAAGAAGTATGAATGACAAGAAAATTTGGCATCAACTGTAGAGTGCTCATTCTTGTCTTCATATCCCCGTAATCTCATCCAGGACATTAATGTTGGATGAGCTCACCACCTGACCAACAATCACAGTGACATCGTCAAGCTTTCCACCTGCTAAAGAATTCAAGTCAAAGCATGTATAGGCAAAATGAAACAATTATGGCACAAGAAACCAGAGAACCATGCCTGTTAGTTTCATCCCAAGAAGTTTCTTCCAAAAAGGAACCTCAAAACCCTGAAGGAGCAAGCATTAAACTTGTCAAGTTCATCCAAGTTCCATTTTATGTGCCCAGCAGTTGATCTACAAATAGTTTTACCTTGGATCTTGCCTCCAATGAATAGGGTGAGTCAAATGTTGAATCCAGTGAATGATTTCTAGCTAGATCAGCTAATGCCTTTGCTAGCATGAAAAGTAAAGCAGAGAAAAATTATGGAGTTGTATTATTAGTCTTAGACACTCCACTCATCTAGAGAATTGTACTACCAAAAACATACCAGCCTCAGCAACATCATCACCATGTGTTTTCAATGTTGAGACAATTTCTTGATCAAAGACATTGTCAAAGAGCCCATCTGAACCCATTACAATGGTGTCTCCTTCCATCAACTCCATCCTGCTAACCTGTTTTTGAGAGACAAGCAGAAAAACAATGGTAAGACAAGACCTTTTTTAAGTTCTGAAACTAGTCAACTTCTGAAAATTCAAAAGGGGGCTTATCCCATATAGCAATTGAACTTGTTTGGATCAAGTAAAGCATCATGTGATATTATAGATGATTTCGACTCTCATACATGAGAATGCCATACAAACTTATCATCATACCATAGCATCAAGGTATGTTTGGCCAACCATCTCTGAGCTTAATTGATAGGGACAGTCAAAGTAATGTTCTTGTGGAGACGTGGAAAAGAGTATTCGTCCTGTAAATTGATTCGATACCAAAACCTTCTCATTCTTTTACTAGTTTCCAAAACAAGGAAAAGAAGAAGGAAAAAGAAAAAGAACTTTAGAATAAGAAGAATATTTATGGCATTACCTTCACGGATAACCTTTAGTCCACAATCACCAACATTGGCAATCTTCAGTATTCCATTCCTCTCTAGCATGGCAACAATACTACATAAATAGCAAAGAGAGAATCAATATTTCAAAATGGTACAGTAAATCATAGACACTCTTATCTTAGTCTTTTTTGTGTGTGAGGGTAATTGTGCAAGTGCAATAATAAATTTCTAAATGTGTTCACATCCTATTTTATGCCCTTAACAACTGGGGAGATGGTTATTTTTAAGTGTTATAAACTTACACTGTAGCTGAGCCGATGGAAGATGTAGCAGCATGTGCTTTCTTTATTAGAATTTGTGGATCATAATTGACCTGATAACAAGATACACAGAATAACATGCTTCATGTGTCTCAGCAGAGAACAACATTTGCAATGTCCTGAACCATTTAAGGTTAAAAAATTTGAACTCAAACTTTCAAGTAATGAACAGATACAAGTCCAAGCTTTATTCAAAGGATGAAATAACTGCTGATATGATTTGTTTCAGATATACTAAAGTGAGTAACAATACCTCCTCGTCCTGCACCAGACTTGAAGCATTAGCCATCAACTCCCGAGGGAATACTGAAGGATCCACATTTTCTTCAGCCCAACTGACAAATAATACAACAGAAAAAGAAGAAGAAGAAGAAGAAAAAAGTCACAAATCCAATAAAATGAATATCTATTTCCCCAGATACTTCATAAATGCACAGCATGCTTTAGTTTGCAAGATGAATCAAAATTTGCCTACTTGTTCAAACTTTGTCTATAGGTCATTCAACCCATCAATTTTATAATTGCTGGTGGCTAAACTGAAACAAATGCAGCTTTTTGGAGCTACCTTAGACAGAAACATCAAATTCTCTTGAATGGAAGGAAAAAGTATGTCCTTAGAAAATAAGGTTTCATACCCGGAAACACCATCAGCAACAGCAATGATTCCTCCATTATAGCTGCTAACAAACAAAGCATCCTCCCCACCTCTCTCCACCTGAACACGGGAAGATGAAAAAATGAAATGGGTACAAAAGAGAGACAAACACAATTTGCTAAAATCATCTCCAAGAAAGATTGAAAACAATAGAGACACCTTGTTGGGGTGCGGAATGAGGTGAGTTCCAACACAGAAGCACACTTCAGACCTACAACTCATTAGCCTCGGAATCAGCCCAAATCAAAATATTGAATGTAAAAGAAGCAGGAGAGTGAGATTAATGTGGTAACTGGTAAGAATTAGCTAACCGGACTGGATATAGTTGTGATGATGAAGTACAGAAAAGCAAGCTCCTTTTCTTCGGAAATGAAGTTCCGTTTGATAGATTGGAAAAGCAAGTTGGGTGAGAATCGGGAACCAGAGCCCTGCAGACGGGAATTGCCATTTCCCGTTTCGTCTCCAAACAGACTCACTTTCTCTTTCCTCCCTCACAGTCAGATTACGGTTTCTTTCTTTTGTGCTTGGAACCAGAAAGGATTTGTGGTTGTGGTTGAGCACCTCGTGATCTTGATTATCAAAGTTATTATATTCGAGACCCTGGACAATAAGCACCAGTGGTCTAGTGGTAGAATAGTACCCTGCCACGGTACAGACCCGGGTTCGATTCCCGGCTGGTGCAAAAGTTTTTGTCTCCATTTTCATTTTGTTTATTTATTTTGACGTAGATGCCCTTTCCTTCCTTCCAGAAGGCAAAGCCCTAAAGTTCCACTCCTTAATGGCTAAATCATCACCATGCCAAACATTTAAATTGTAAATATTTATACGCGGGAAATGATTTTTTCGTATAACTTTTTCACCCCACCTTTTTATACAATTTAACATGTCATTAAAATAATTAATTTTTTTAATTCATGTAAAACTCGCAATATTAAATACATCTATTTATTTAATGATATATAAAAATTGTATAAGAAACTAATATAAAAAAATTATTCCTATAATACCACCCTTTATACAACAAATATATAAATTGCAAATATTTATACGTTTAAGATGAAAATTTATATGAAAAATCCTTGTGACTCAAGGTAACATTTCATTTTAATAGAAGTGTGAGATTTGAATCTTATATTCATGTTCAAAAATAAAATAAAATAAAATAAAATAATTATACATATATCAACAAAAGGGAAAGTGCTGATTTGAACTTCTTCACCATTCACCACATCAACGCAATGAAGACCTTTAATTTAGTTTCGAAATAGCAAAAACAGAAACAGAAAACTTAAGATTTCTGAAAGACAACAAAACCGTTCTTCTTGAAATATTCCAGTGCAACAAAACCGTTCTTCTTGAAATATTCCAGTGCAACAAAACTTACCCTCAACCCTAAGTAACTAGCCCTCTGTATCCTACCATACAATGCAATCTAAGATTAGCGGGTATGCCAAGAACAACTTTATCTTTTAGTCTACAGGGTTCCATAATACAGATCATTGACTTAACACTCAAATGAATCATTGACTTAACACTCAAATAATAAAAATATGACTACTGACTAGTGTGTGTTGAACCGTTCACTTTATTGGCTTCAATTAAACAACTTCATTCTTTGGCATTGAAATGCCAATGATTATCATGTACTCCCTCAAGCAACAATGTTCTCAATATCAGAACTTTTGTCAATTCTCTTCACAATACCAGATATAACCTTCAAAAGAAA